TTGGAGGAGGCTTAAGAGCTCTCCTAAGCACACCTATAAACTGACAGTGTACCATCTTAAACCAATTCAATTCCCTTCCCTGCGATAAAGGACGCCAGTTCAGAGAAGATAACATCTCACAGTGATGGCTCCCAAAGCTGCAATTTAACACAAATCTAACCGCTCTATTATGCAGCACAGCCAATTTGTTAAGAAAGGACAAGCGAGCATGTCTATTAACTCTATCATCATAATCAAATATTGGCACAAGGAACTGCTCAGCGGTGCAAAGTCTAGCAAACCACCCTCCCCCCATAAAACAATTATGTGCCCTTCAGAAAAACAACATGCCAGCCAGTTTAGGTGAACCATTGCACGACTCACCCTGGTTTTCTCCTTTTAAGATGTGCAGCCCTTTGTGGAGGGACAAAACCCCGTTGACTCCAAGTTGTGTCCAGCAAAGCCTCAAAGAGGGCTTGTCCTTAGGGCTCGTGCTCCACAGCTCCTGGGACTGAGAGGGCTCCTGGGCTTGATCTCCAGCAGTCCTCGCTCCCGAGGGTGTTTTTGCTCAGGCATTTGGGACCGCATGGCTAGGGGATCTGGAGCAGGTCCTAAATCTGACTGCTCAGAGAGAGGAAAGCCAGATGCTGATAGAAGAAGCTGGAGAAGGAGCTCGGCAGAGGCAGGAGGAGCACTGCTTTCAGCAGAGCCGAGAGTGCTGCAGTGAAGTTTCTAGCTTGTCTCAACATGAAGATAAGGCAGGATGGCTTGTGTCCCAGGACATCTCCTGTGCCAGGAGCTGGGGCTGCAGCGGGCACGGAGGGAAGGTCTCTTCCTGCTGCACACATGGGATCAGCATGAAGGGTCTGCAACAAACCATCCCCGGTGTCTCTGCAGTGGCTGTGTCGCTTCATGGCTCCTAGTAATTCCTCATTTTGCTGTCAGTCACAACTGGGGGAGACTGTGGGCCCTAAGTTTGATCACTCTTATCACCCCCACCTTGCACTTTTACTTGCACCTGCAATCTCTGTCCCCTGTGCAAAGGAGGGTGAGAGGGCAGAGCTGGTGGCAGAGCTGGCAGCCCGCTTGTCCCCCACGCTGGCCCTGGAAACCCACCAGCACGAAGCAAGAGAATCACTGCAGCCTCTCCAGGAGGGATGTCCTCTCCTACGCCATCCCCATGAGCCTGTCCTAAGGCCCTGCCAGTTGTCTTGCCCCAGGACAGCTTGCAGACACCCCGTGAAGACAGAAAAAACTTCCAATGAACACCCATGACCATGTACATGCATGAGGAAAGGCTTTAAGGCTACCCAAAACTTGGCTCCAAATTTTTCTGGCTACAGTTCTTACTCCTTTGGCTCCATTTTACTCTGCCTTTCACCCTTGTGCCTTTGCAGCACGGCCACCACCTCCTGCCTGAACCCAACAACGCTTCTGCCTCTGCATGGGGATGGTCAGGAAAGTTCAGGTCAGTTAATCGGGGAACTGAATTTCTTGGTGATGCACCTGCCTGAAATTCCCATTTGACCCAACTCACTCAGCTCCAAATAGCCTTAATATGATTTACCTTATTTCACCTTCGAAGCTACAGCTATAGTAAAGCGAAATTGAATTTCGGCGACTTCAGAAATTATGTCTCTGACACAGAGACCGGTGAGAAATTCTCTTCATTGCCACTGCTTCAAAACATAAACTCTGTTGCCAGGGAAAAAGCTCCATTCTTCCAGGAAGGCAATCTGCGAACATCGCGGTCAGGCAGATTTAAGTGAGGAAATCTTGTTGACAAAAACAAGCCATCTCCCAGCATTTTAGCTAAACCTCAGCGATCAATTTGGCGAGGCTTTTTTGTAAATCCAGGAGGGGAAAGCGTCCGTCTCTGTGTCCCGTCCCAGGGCCGGCATCTCCTGCACCGCTCCCGATGGCATCGCCTCTGCTCGCACACCGCCCGCGGGAGCACGAAGCTGCGAAATCCCGGGGATGCCGAGTGCGGGGGTGCAGGATGCGACCCCTGCCCGGAGGGACGCGGCCCTTCTGCCTTGGGAAAGGGGCTCCAGCAACCAACTGAATAAATACGTACCTTTGCTTGGACTTGTGATTCTCCCCATCGTGGGACTAGCGGGATTTTAGGCACCCGCTTGGCTGGATGGTGACAGCTCCTTGTTCTCCAAAGCGTTCAGAGATACCAAACCTAAATTCCCCCTAAATCCCCCAATTTAGTAGGCGGGGGGAGCCAGGTTTGGGGTGGGCAGTCCCCGGCCGCAGCTCCGAGAGGGACACACGCCGACCCTCAAGCCACGGCGCAGGAGCAAGGACCAAGGCCATCGGGGACCCGCTGGGGACGTTGGCAGCAGCTCGAAGAAAGACCATAGGAACTAAAGTCACAAACAGAACTGGGTTTTATTACGAAATAACCCTGCCATTACATAAGGAAGTTCTGTCTGCAAAATACATTTCCTGAGGAAAGTAGATCACAGTATTCGTTTTCACAGAATAACATGTAGCCTGCTATAACTTTCAATGTGACTCTTTATTATTTAAATATTAACAGTATTCCTTCACATAAACAAGTACTCAGTCATCACATAACTGACACACAAACGACAAAATAAATATACAACAAGAGCACAGTTCATTTTTTTTTTCCCGACTTAAATATTAAATAAATAATAAATACAGAATTTTCGTTTCCTGTTATCAGTGCCTGAAACAATATGAATGAAAAAGAAAAGAAAAACTGCTGAGAAAGTCTCTCTTCCCCCTGGTGCCCCTGCCCCCACAAAAAAACAAACCAAAAAATTATCAAAATGTCTCAGTTATAAAATATCTTTAAAAAAATTCCCATCGTTAAAAGAATAAATAACAAAATATATAAAAAATAACTTGGTTGCATCAAAATTACAAGTAGGAGTTGTAGATAGGGTTTTTTTTCTTTTTTTTTCTTTTTTTTTTTGGAATATCATTTTTTTATGGTCAAAAGTTTTAATTTTTAACTTTTTTTTGCTTCTTTTATCTTCTTTTCTATGGTGCGGTGTCCAGTTTAAAATAAGTATAAAATCAATAAATAAAAAAGTTAAATAAATAGCAAAAAGGTAACATAAGGTGTTGTAAATATAAATTACATACATCTTGCCAAAATTAAATAATTTACAGGATAATTAAACTAACTACTTTTTTTTTTTTTTCCTCTCTTTCTTCCAGGAAGTGCAATTTCTCTACTTTTAAATACTAACTGAATTGCAGTCACAATCAATTTGGACTCTATTTACATGTTAAGAACATTGTGTTTTTAACACCTCAAATTATTTTTTTTTTTTTTTTCCCCTTTCTTTTGTATTTTTGCACTTGGAATGGGTTCTAAAATAAGTGAACTCATGGAGTCTGATCCTGCAAACACTTAAGTACGTGAGCAAGCCCACCCGCGCCAGCTGCCCCGTTGAACGCAACGGGAACCGGCACGAGTCCAGCTGCTCGGGAGCTTCGAGGCCGGATCCAGTGGCCGCTGCGATCGCTGGGAAGCTTTCTACTGACTTCTCTGAATCATGGATTATGCCCTAAATATCTGCAGGATTGGGCTCGAAACGACACCACAGTCTTGCCTTTAGAATGGGTCAGCAAAATCCTCGCCAGCCCTGCCCGCCCCGCCGCCGGGAGGGATGCGGGACGTGGGAGCTCCCCGCGCTGAGACCCCTCGCGGGGTTTTGCCCCCTCTGTGCTTCCGAAGTGTTTGCAGCAGGGGGACAGCGAGCTCCGGACGGGAGCGAACATCAGGGAGAGCAAACCCGCGGGGCGACAGCCGGCTCCGCGCGCGGTGGAGCGGCTGCTGGAGGGCAGCGTCGCAAAGACATTCATAGAGTTGTTCTTGAAGTGCACAGTGGGCTGCGTGTACCGAGCTGCTTACAAAATGCTTCTTTGGAAGAATACCCAATACCTGAATACTCTTTTTTTGTCCCCGTCCCCCCCCCCCCCCCAC